GCACGCCTGTAATCCCAGCGGCTCGGGAGGCTGAGACAGGAGGATCAAGAGTTCAAAGCCAGCCTCAGCAATGGCGAGGCGCTAAGCAACTCAGTGAGATCCTGTCTCTAAATAAATACAAAATAGGACTGGGGATGTGGCTCAGTGATCGTGTCCCCCTAAGTTCAATCCCCAGTATCCCCCCACTCCCTGCAACAAAGAAAAGCATAATAGGAAATTTAAGGCATTTATGATCATTTGACTTAAAGTTCTTATGTTCTTTCAAATAAAAATTTTTATAATTCAGTGGTTTGGTTTAGGGTCCTTCTTCCATGGTTTTGCCTTTATCCTTCACTATTAAATGCAGTTCTGAGTTTTGTCCTTGGTAACCATAGTCCATTTTGTTGTATTAGGTATGAAAGTATCATTGCCACTCTCTGTGAAAACTTAGACTCACTGGATGAGCCAGATGCTCGAGCAGCTATGATATGGATTGTGGGAGAGTATGCTGAAAGAATTGACAATGCAGATGAGTTACTAGAGAGCTTTCTGGAGGGTTTTCATGATGAAAGTACCCAAGTAAGTCCTCAGCTGTCCTGTGTCCTAGATCTCTTTGGAAAGATCAGAGAAAGTAAAAGATAAGCAGTTTCTCTCTCTTTCGCTCGCGCTGTCTCTCTCTCTCTCTCCCTCCCTCTCCCCCTTCTCTCCCTCTCTGTGTGTGTGTGTGTGTGTTTATATATATATAGTATGTTCATTTTTATCCCCAAAGGGATGATCCTTTTCCAGTTGTACTGATTTCTAGTGTAATAAACTAACATAACTCAGACCCATGGTTTTCAAACCAAGTGAGCAATAGAAACACCTGTGYTTTTTAAATATAGGTTGCTGGGCCTCACCCCCAGAGTCTGACTCAGTAGGTCTGAGATGTGCTTTACTGTTTGCATTTCGTACAAGATTCAGGTTGTTAGTGCTGCTGCTATTGCTAGTCCAGAACTGTACTTGACAGTAATCAGCTTTTTATTTTATTTCACATAAGGGTGAGTACACATTCCTGTTAGTAGTGGCCTTGGTTCATTACAGCAGGGATTTTCATGTGGGACTGTGGTAAAGTTTGAAAAGATTCTCTTATGGATTAGTCTCCTTCCCATCTTCTGTCTCTCTTCCCTACAAAAAATTGAGGCTTAGGCCTAGAGAAGTAGACAGATTAGTAAGTTCTTTCTCCCTGGCATTTGTACTCATAGCAAATAGAAGTTCATGTGTGTAATCCATTATAGTAATGTTATTTATTTTATTATAGCTTTATTATTGAGTTACATTTCTTTATTTTGAGACAGGATTTTACTAAATTGCCTCTGGCCTTGCTAAGTTGCTGAGGCTGGCTTCGAACTTTAGATCCTCCTGCCCCAGCCTCCCCAGACACTGGGATTTAGGCATCTGGCCCACTATAGTAACAGGCTTAATACAGGGAACACATACAAGCCAGTAGCTTTGTGGTTCAACAGTCCACTTTTTTTTTTTTTTTTTTTTTTTTTTGTGGTGTCAGAGATTGAATCCAAGACCTCATGCATGTTAGGTAAGCACTCTACTACTGAGCTACCCTAGCCCAGCAGTCCACTTCTAATTGACTGAGATCTGATAGAATTGCACAGTCTTGACTCTTGCCCTATCTGACAGATAGTTTCATCATCCTTCAAACTTTTAGCTTTGGGTAGAAAGAAATGAGGTAAGACTTGGTCAGGAACCAGTTTATGCTGCTAGCCTGTTAGCATGTACTTTGAAAAATATAGGAGATAACCTGGCCCAGAAATAAGCCATTTTTTATGCCAAAAATGCAATTTTAGGATAGGATCCTAGTGAGTTTTCAATTAAATACCCTTGTATTTCAGAAGAATAACTTTGATTGCCGTTATTGATACTGATTGAGTTTTAACTTTTTTCTCTTAACCAAAAATCAAACAGACTCCATAAGTAATTCATAGTTGGAGAAACATCACTTTAGAGATGGTGCCAGGGAATAATATAGTGCCATTCACTTTATCTAATTTTGTTTGTTTAGGTGCAGCTCACTCTGCTTACTGCCATAGTGAAGCTTTTTCTCAAGAAGCCATCAGAAACACAGGAGTTAGTCCAACAGGTCTTGAGTTTGGCAACACAGGTAAGAAATCTGAAAAATGGGAGGGGTTGTTTTGTCTTATTTTAAAGTGTAGGAAATTATGAAACTCTTCCCAAGAAGGTAAAATAAGGGAAGTTTTCAAAAAGTATGGTATTTATTTACATTTTACTAAATTATTATTATTAAAACAGTTTCTCTTAATATGTTCCACGCTGGTTGGTATAGCTTTTAAATAAGTTGACTGGCTGTAGTTTTCATGATAATTTATGAAAATTGAACTTAGATTCTGTAGGTTAATGGTGGATATATTTATGTAGAAACAATATCAAGTCTGATGGTACCCTCTCCTTTGTGACTTTGGTTTTCAAATAAAATACTGTGCAGATGGGCTGGGGATGTGGCTCAAGCGGTAGCGCGCTTGCCTGGCATGTGCGGGGCACTTTATAAAAATAAAGATGTAGTGTCCACCGAAAACTAAAAAATAAATATTAAAAAATTCTCTCTCTCAAAAAAAAAAAAAATACTGTGCAGACAAGGCATATACCTCGGTAAAGTCTCACATATGGGTTGCCTTTCTCTTGGAAATAATTTTAAAGTGCTTCTGCTGCTTCCTTGCATTTTTAGATATTTTTGGCCCTCTTTGGAATTATATGACATTTTTGTTGAAGAAAAGAAGTTCAGATGGATTATAATTTCAGAAATGTGGCCACTGATCTTAAAGACCAGGTGACCATTTTGGATCAATGAAAATAAAAATAATTACTTTTTCTAGTGTAACTAGTATAATGATTTTCAGTCCATCATGATTTAGTGATTTTCTTAATTGAATTTGAGAACAGATTGGCTGTCAGAATTAAGATGTATGCACATGGAATCAATTCAGATTTTTAATTTACCATTTTTTCTCCTTCTCTTTACAAATGGTATATATTATTAAAACTTAAAGTCCTGTATACGGCTTTGCTTAGTTCTCAGCTGTCATTTTTCCTATTACTAATTTTATACATTTTAAAAATTTATTTGTAAAGAGCACTTTGAAATCTTATCTGGTTCAAACTGAACATTGTAGACTTCTGTGTCTAGATCCTTGATTAATAACTCTGAGGTTATTTGTATTTCTTAAGATGAATTCAAAACAATTTCTTTTTTTCTATCTTTTTTTGTGCACTCTATTTTAAACCTTCAAGTCCTTATGTAGAATGACAGAATTGGAGCAATTCACATTCTGCCAAAACAATTTCCAAAAGGAATTTTGACCTTGCTCCTTCTCTGCTCACCTGTAAATAATCAAGAAAGTGTCTTGGTTGTTGCCTCTGTTTTCATAAATTCTCAACTCACTCTCCATCTTCATTGTCTGTTAAAGCCTATGTGTTTGTATTTAGCAGGCAGCCTGGAAGAGCTGTGTTTTGGTTTCTTGTCAAGTTCAAACTAAATGTCATTATGTATCGGTATTTATAAAAATTTAAGTGAGAAGGATTCAAGATCCTTCTGTTCTTACAGATAGTGTGAAATTCATCTGTGAATCAAGCCGGATTAATAGAAAACTGGGTATCTGGACTTGTTATATTTTAACACTAACAGCATTGCTTTTATTGAATCACAGTGGCACTATCAACCAGTAATGATTATCACGAGAAACTATCCTATCAGAGTTGTTGTTTATTTCATTATATTTTCTTCCTTATGATACCCCATCAAATTTCTGACAAGTTTTAGATTTTCTGGTGCATTGATATGTAATTGACTACTCCTCAAAATGCCTTACCTGAGTGATCAAGTTTTTTTTTTTCTTTTTTTCCCGTCACATTGGTTATTCAGTACCTTAGAGAATATGGAAAGTATTCAGGTTATTGTAGTGTGCATTTTTCTGCCTCTAGTTTTAACTTGTAGTCTTTAGCCTTAGATTCATTTTTGTAAGGTTTGTTAAAGTGCTTTCCTGGGACAGGGCAGGGTGTAAACAAACTATTCCTGATTTTAGTCTTTATAAGGATTAGTATAAAATGTTAGTAACAGCCACTTGTATAGTGCTTACAATGTTTCAGGCATTCTTTTAAAGCACTTTACATATTAACTTACTTAATACTAATAACAGCTAGTGCTGTTATTGTTCCTGTTTTGTAGATGTCAAAACTGAAACACTGAGAGACCTAAGCCCAGTTGGTATATCTCGAGGGTCCATGTCCTTATCTACTATGCTATCCTGCCCCTCTAGTCTGAAGATTAAGAATTATTTTGAGAATACATAATTTCTGCCTGAAGTACTATTGCATATAAGTCAGTATGCATAAGTGCCTTTTATTAATTTTAAGATATTTATGTATGATCATTTTATGTTTGATTATACATAAAAGCACTTTCTCTAGGCTTGCCTTTTCTGTCCAGTTAATTAATGATATCTGAGGAATTGTCATAAGAGTAATTAAGTATATTTATGAAAGCCTTTTCCACTGAAAGTTTTTTCTTTTTCTCAAGTTTATAAAATAATAACCTAATATTTATAGCTGGTGAGTAGTAACTTAAGCACAGTGTAGTCCACTGAATTGTGTTAATTTGAATTGGGTGGTAAGATTCTATTTCTGCCACTTTACTCTTTCAGGATATGATTGAGTAAATTCACTCTTTTCATATAATGTTCAAATTTTCTTTCCACATAGAGGTCTAAGTGAGGAAGTTTCAGGTTATTATTTATAAATACTTCCTCAGGAGCAAATTATTCCTAAAAAAATTAAAATATAATAAAATTAATTAATTAATTTCCTATTCTTTAACCCTGGCATTTCAAATACTAGAGAAATTTTGATATGACCTATATATACTTTTTTCCTTTACATATGATAAACATTTCTGTTAGAATAATGCAACTTATGAATGTGATAGATTTTCTTGAGATAAAATTTGCCATTTTAATGCTTTATTAATTTTCAGTATCACAATATTCTTTGTTTTTTTTTTTTGTTTTTAACACTCATTCTGAGTACAAATTAAACCATATACAACTGAGAAAAATAATTTGAAACTGTGTAGTCAAAACCACCAAGGATCTTTTTGAGATTCCGTACAGCACCATGAAAGTTGGTCAAGAACAAGTGCCTTACGCAAGGCAGCAAACAGGAACCAAGAAGTGATTTATCATTTTCTAAGATAGATTGTTGTGATATGAAAGCACCTGTTTGCTATGTTCAGTATAAGAAATACTTTGAAAACACTAATCACAAAGACTCAAGAACCAAAGTTGCATTTCCTGGCCTAAAGAGTCATGTGTTTGAATGAAACCTTGTTCATCTTCAGGATGAAATTGCATTTAGAAAATTTCAGCTAATTACTAAAGATGTTCAGGGTAAAAAGTGCCTGACTTTCATGGCATGGATCATACTGTGACTTTAATATCTTTACATTTTCAAAAAATGGCATGAAAGAATTGAAGTTCATGTTGATGTGAAGACTACTGATAGTTATTTGCTTTGTTCTGTGTGCGTTTTTTTCTTCATTTTTAAAAATTCTATATGACAGCAGAATGCATTACGATYCATATTACACATATAGAGCATAATTTTTCATATCTCTGCTTGTACCCAAAGTAGAGTCGCATCATTCATGTCTTTATGCATGTACTTAGTGTAATGATGTCCATCTCATTCCACCATGTTTTCTATCCCCATGCCCCCTCCCTTCCTCTCCCTCTCCTTTTCCCCTTTGCCCTATCTAGAGTTCATCTAATCCTCCATGCCCCCTCCAACCACATTATAAATCAGCATCTTTAAATCAGAGAAAACATTTGGCATTTGGTTTTTGGGGATTGGCTAATTTCACTTAGCATTATATTCTCTAACCCAATCCATTTACCTGCAAATGACATGATTTTATTCTCTTTTAATGCTGAATAATATTCTATTGTGTGTGTGATATATATATATCACATTTTCTTTATCCATTCATCTACTGAAGGGCATCTAGGTTGGCTCCACAGTTTAGCTATTGTGAATTGTGTTGCTATAAACATCGATGTGACTATGTCCCCGTAGTATGCTGTTTTTATGTTCTTTGGGTATAGACCGAAGAGTGGGATAGCTGGGTCAAATAGTGGTTCCAGGGCTGGGGATGTGGCGCAAGCTGTAGCAAGCTCGCCTGGCACGCGTGTGGCCCGGGTTCGATCCTCAGCACCACATACAAACAAAGATGTTGTGTCCACCGAAAACTAAAAAATAAATATTAAAATTCTCTCTCTCTCTCTCTCTTTAAAAAAAAAAAATGGAGGTTCCATTCTCAGTTTTCCAAGGATTCTCCATATTGCTTTCCATATTGGCTGCACCAGTTTGCAATCCCACCAGCAATATATGAGTGTGCCTTTTTCCCCACATCCTCTCCAACACTTATTGTGTTTGTATTCTTAATAACTGCCATTCTGGCTGGAGTGAGATGAAATCTTAGAGTAGTTTTGATTTGCATTTCTCTGATTACTAGAGATGTTGAACATTTTTTCATATATTTGTTGATCGAATGTATATTCTGAGAAGTGTCTGTTCAGTTCCTTGGCCCATTTATTGATTACTAAGTACTAATTACTAAGGGTGTTCAGGGTAAAAAGTGCCTTACTTTCATGGCATGGATCATACTGTGACAGATGTCTTTCATTTTCAAAACATGGCATAAAAGAATTGAAGTTCATGTTGATGTGAAGACTACTGATAGTTATTTGCTTTGTTCTGTGTGTGATTTATTAAGAAAAAAAAACTGTAGCAATCAAATATGGAAGACAGACACTCTGCACCACTTTTCTACCAAATCAAGAAGGTGATGATGGAAGTCATGACCCAAGAGCTGTAGACAATTAAAAAAAAAATGTAATGAATAAATTAATTCTAGACAACATTGAAAAAAAAAACATTAAAAAAAGCCTGCCGATCTGTTTAGCCTCATCATGGTTTGAAAAAGTAAAAATGCTGTAGTCTGTTTGTACTAGGAAAACTCAAGGAACTTCATGGAAAAACTGCTGGGGCTGAGAAAAGTGCTAAAGTCAAATGAGATAATGTATATGAGCCTACAACCCAAGAATCTTTTCAAATTCAGATTTTAATAGTAACCAAAAATCCTCTATGTGATGGAGGAGGGGAAAACACCCATCAGAGTGGTTGTTCATATTGACAAGTGTCCTTAAGTAGCTAAATCATGAATCAATTTATCTGCTCACTTAGAACTCATGTGGAATCCCTCATATTGACYTTTTTTAAAGAAATTTATATGTGTGGGTTTTAAATGCAGAAATGAAACGGATTTATTATTGTTTTTAATAATATGCCATTTGAACAATTTCATATTGCTGCTATATGGACATACCCTAAGAGGTAGATACCTGGATATTTATTGCTACTTTGTAGTGATCATAACAGTGCAAATAAAGWAAGAAGGCAGAGGAGAAAGGGACAATAATTTAAATGTCCATCAATAGGGAATTAGTCAAAATGATGCATAGATATATATACAGTAGGAAACTGTACTTCTATGTGTCAATACAGAGAGCAACTTACAGAACCTTATAAAATATGAAATGGTTATTATAAAATAAATGTGTGTGGGTGAGCTGTCTGGAAAAATATATAGCATTATTACTAATTAAGGCTATCTGGGGAATAGGAAATTGAGGGAGAGGTTTGGATAATTGGGGGAGGTTTCTTTTTTATATTATACAATTCTAAATTGTAGTATGGAGTTGGTAAATTTTTTAGCCATGAGCATAAATATAAAATTATTTTAAAACTGTTATAACAATGAAAAACCATTAAATTCAAGTGCCATCCCTTTTGAAAGCCCTTAATACTACATGCTATCTTTAATGTTGTTTTGATTATTTTGATAATAGTACCTTTCACACTATATTAATAGTTTTTCTGTGAGTTCCTTAAAGTCAGGTACTATGTGTGGTATTTCATTTCTATTACTTAGCCAATGTCTGCAAAGGAGAATTTTATACATATTTAAGTGAAGAAAGAATATTTGGGTGAAATATATGTAAGTTGYGTGTTATGAATAGTCCTGCTAGTATTTATAGTGGTTTTTTAGAAAATACCTAAAAGTTATTGTCTCAAGGACATCTCAACCAGTTCAGTTTTACCAGATTAAACTTTGTTTTCTTCTTCCCAGTTTCCCTTCAGATTCGAACTTTAGGATTAACCCATTTCAAATTATATTTAAATTTCTTGAAACATTAGAAATTATAGGTGGGGATGTGGCTCAAGCGGTAATGTGCTCGCCTGGCACCCGTGAGCCACGGGTTTGATCCTCACCATGATCTGCAGAAATTATAGGATTATGACTGTGTAAAAATTATACTGAGTCTCAGTGGAACACCTCCTTAGTAGCTAGTTTGCATAAATCACTACAGCATTRCCTTGATAATCCAGCAGTTTGGGTTTCTATATGAACAGTTCCATATAAACCTTTTTGTACTTGCCTTTTAATTAGGATTCTGATAATCCTGACCTTCGAGATCGGGGCTATATTTATTGGCGCCTTCTCTCAACTGATCCTGTGACAGCCAAAGAAGTAGTCTTGTCTGAGAAGCCACTGATCTCTGAGGAAACGGACCTTATTGAGCCAACTCTGCTGGATGAACTAATCTGCCACATTGGTTCTTTGGCCTCTGTGTACCATAAGCCTCCCAATGCTTTTGTGGAAGGGAGTCATGGGATCCATCGCAAGCACTTGCCAATTCATCATGGAAGGTAAGTAGGTGAACCAAATATGAGTGAGAAGTGTCTATTTAGACAGACGGCTCTTCCTCTTGCTTTTATAGCCTAGATAAGAACTTGCTATGCATTTTTCAAACCTGCTACTATWCTGCCCTAGGAAGTCCCTCTGTATTCCAATCTAGGTGTATAATAATATTTAGAAGATTATGGTGGAGAAGTCCTTCTAAATTGATGAAGTCTGAAAGTTGCCTGAGTCTTCAGTAAGATGAGGCTAGAAATATTCCCAGAGTTGAAAACTTAGCAAAAAGCCTCTTCATACATTAGCTATCTATCTCTTACTGTAGCTTTGGTTGAGGCTGATTGATAAAGTTGTAGATACTGCTTCTCTTATACTGTAAACCTACTATAAACTAGTATTTACAGAATTATCTTATATAAACAGCCCAAATTTTATATAGTTTTAATTGGACATAGTTTTTTTAGTTAGTTGTGCCCCTTTTTTGCCATATTAAGTTGATCATCAGGAAATTGTTATGAATAGGCTTTCAGGTAACATGGAGCTCCTGTTTTGTAGCTACCTTAAAATTTTAATTAAGGAGGGGAAATACTTTTTAGTCTTTATAATGAGATTTTAGAAACTTCAGAATCTAATTTCTTTATCAATCATAATAAATCTTAAAACTAAGTAGAATTTGCTCCCAAAAGGACTGAGGATGTAGTTCAGTGCAAGAGTGCTTGCCTATGTGTAAAGCTCCAGGTTCAATTCACACACACACAAAAAGATAATTTTGCTCCCAGAGTAGTTAGAATAACTGRGTTTCCATTAATGAACATGTTATACCATTGTTTAATGTGTGTTTCTATTTAAGTAGTTCATGAGTCACCAAAAGCATAGAATTTATTTATTTACAAATTAATGTAAGTCAGCATTTTGACCTCTGTCTTACCAGACTGTTGGCACAGAAAAAAAGAAAGTGGCAACACTCAAGAAAGTGATAATTAAAAAAAAACATATAACTTTATAGTCTTTGCTGTTAGTTGAATTGAGTCTTTGGTTTTAGGGTAGTGCTATGATTTTAACCCAAAGGAGATGTGTGGATTCATGAAGATTAGTCCTTAGAACAGATTAGGGTATTTCTTCTTGTAGGCAAGCAAGCATGTGCAATATTCTCTAAATATGACTGTGTATTTTTAGTATCTTTAGTATTCTATCCTAATATTTCTCCTGGCCTGTGCTTCAAGTTTTTATATAGATGTGGATTTTCTATTTTAACTTGCCTATGTAACTGTATTTATATGCCATTTAATCTAGCCTTCTCCTCATAACTTTTGACCCATAAATAGGAGGAGGAAATGAAGCAAATCAACAAACAGAAACAACTCTTTCTGAACACAAGGAAAGAATTATTTTGTAAACTATCTAAAAGAAACATAAATTCATACATAATATCATTATCTGATTAATAATCATTCTTGCTTTTTGTTTTTAAAGGATATACAAATATAGGAAAAATACCTTTTCATACAAATGAGGATAATGCTTTGCTGCAAGTGACACATTACTTAGCTCTCTTCTGMAGTATAATGTTAATATGTATACACTTTGATATGAAATAAAGCTGCACTTAAAAGCTTTTCTACCTCTTATAAAAGGTTTAAAAATGCTTATTTCACTATCTTCTAAAGTAACTTGRGAGAAGGAGACATGTTCTCTTAATATGCTCACATATTATACCGGCTGCTCTATGGAGGTGAGGTGGTAAATAACTTATCTAACTTAGAAAAATCCTCACTTTTTAAAAATATTGCTCTGGTGCAATTTAAGTTCACAATGGGAAACACTATTAATTTTCTTGTATTTTCTCTTTAATAAGAATGTATACTAATGATTTATCATGTTCTTTAATATTTATTATGAATCTATAGGATCATTTACTTCTGTCCTCTAACTCACTTTTTCTTGTCATATTACTCCTACTTCCATTACAGTGAAAAAAAATATGCATAACTACCAATTCTACCATCTTCTTTGAATTACAAATAAATCATCTATTTTGTTACTTTCCTAAGTGGCATAGATCATAGATGACATAATTTCATGTGTAGAGAATAATCTATGAAGATTTCATATATTTCTTGCCAGGTGTATATGAAAGTACTTATGAAGATTTCATATATTTCTTGCCAGGTGTATATGAAAGTACTTCCCCCTTTGACTGCTTTCTTTTATTTGGCCCTTTCTCACTGTGGCTTCCTTGATACTTATTTCCTTCTAATTATCTTTCTTAGATCATTTTTCTCTTTAATCTTCAGTTTATTTCATTCTCTTCTGTGACCATTAATTTTGATTGTATCAAAAGGCTCAGTCTGAACACTCTTTTTTCCATGTCGATCTTTGTATTCCCTTAGGGAAATTACCTACCAACCATATCTACTACTGATACAAGACTGTACCACTTACATAATATTTTTATTTGATCCTTGCTCTAAAATAAAGCCCTGTGTTTGGATGATATTGTTATAATTTTATCCATGAGGAAACTTTGAAGTTGTCACCTGTCCAAAATTGTGTAACTTGCAATTGTGGAGTCAATACTTGATCTTAGTCTTCTAATTCTTGATCCCATGCTCTTATTACCACACCTTACTCTGGTGATTTCACCTAAGATATATACATGAATTTTTCCCAAATTTTTTGTCTCTCACTGCCAGTCCCTTGTCATTAGCTGCCTGTTGGACTTCTCTGCTCATTTTGCTTACTTGAAACAACTAAAGGAATTAAGAACTGAGGGTCTTGGGCCTATCCATTTAGCTTAGTAGTAGAGTACATGTTTAGCATGCACAAGGCCCTGATTTCAATTCCCAATACCAAACACAGGCAAAACAAAATTTAATTCCTTAGCATCTTATTATTTTTATCATCCTTCCAGATTCCCCAGTAATATCAGGAGCTTCGCTAGTCTTTTTCTTTAACTTAGTTGTTGTTTATTCTCTGCACTTTGATTTTTCATTCTCCTTTGGCTTCTATGTTCAAGTGTGTCAAAACTTAACCTAGGGGGCTGGGGATATGGCTCAAGCGGTAGCGCGCTCGCCTGGCATGTGTGCGGCCCGGGTTCGATCCTCAGCACCACATACAAACAAAGATGTTGTGTCCGCCGAAAACTAAAAAATCTCTCTCTCTCTCTCTCTCTCTCTCTCTCTCTCTCTCTCTCTCTCTCTCTCTCTCTCTCTCTCTCTTTTAAAAAAAAAAAAAAAACAACTTAGGCTTTTATATATTTTTTTAAAGAAAAAAAATTAATTCAATTTTTTAATTGAATTTTTATTTTTTCTGGTGCTGGGGGTGACAAACCCAGGACCTCTACCACTGAGCTACATCTGTAGCCCTGTAATTGAATTTTAAAATGTTTTATAGTTATAAATCTGATATTCTCTTGCTGCCTTGTTATGTCCTATATGAAACTGATTTTTCTCTTTTCTCTGTATATATGTAACTGCAGCACTGACGCAGGTGACAGCCCTGTTGGCACCACCACTGCGACTAACCTGGAACAGCCTCAGGTTATTCCTTCTCAAGGAGACCTTCTAGGGGATCTTTTAAATCTTGACCTTGGTCCCCCAGTCAATGTGCCACAGGTGTCCTCCATGCAGATGGGAGCAGTCGATCTCTTGGGAGGAGGACTTGATAGTCTGGTAAGTATCTCTCTTCTCCCATTCTTTGGTTATTTTTAGTTCTCATTATGCTAGAGCTTTTTATTTTTACTCAGCTTTTTAGAACTAGACCTTTCCATAATGAGCAGTAATGTCCTTTGATAAAGGACAGGATTATTTGTCTTTAGGTTAATTACAATACTGTTCATCATTGGTACTAGGCATGTCTGCAAGTTTACAGGATTATTCCATTATCTTGCCCCTAAATAGAATCTTGTTATTCAGCAATCTTAATATCCTTTCTGGAGTATATTATTGTTCCTGCTTCTTAACTCTGGATTGACCCTGTAAATACTTCTTTTGACCTGAATAGCATTAAAGTGGCCTCATAAAGATCATCTTGTTTTGAGGTTTTCAAGTCTCTCTACCTTTTAAATTTTTTATTGGCTTATGCCTTGTCCAATTCTGAAAAGTTTTTCGGCAGCCATGAGCCATTTTTATATAAAAGTTACCTGAATTACAGTTGGGAAGAACTGCTTGATTGGTTATTTATCCCCTTCTTCCCCACCTCTTCTTCCTTATTATACTTCCAATTTAATTAGCTTCCAGGATTCTAAAAGGCTCCAAAGTCTAGAGTATCTGTGAATATGTGCCATTAATAGGAACCAGAATTATTTTTTTGTTGCTGTACAAGATGAATGAGAAATATTAAGTGTGAACTTCACTCTATAGAGAGAAGACCAAGAAAATAACTGGTCTCATCACATGGTTTCCTGCAAACAAGTTACTTAACTGTGAAAGAATTAGAGTGTTTCTTTTAGCTAAACACTTGAAATGAAATGTTTGTCAACCCGTGGCTATAAAGATGCCCAATAAATTGATTTGCTTCCCCACATCCTGGAAGATAAATACCATACTTGTGAAAAGTTTATGTTCTCAGAGATACATAAACAAAACACCTCATTCTCTGCTACATATCTCAGCATCATCTCTTATACTTATGAGCAATATTGTATCTGGGGTTTATGCCAGCCAGTACAGGTGGCATTGTTTTTTGACTAGAAGAGTCTGAGGAAATAGGGTTATAGTCATATTTCTCTGGGTTGTGCATTTTACTAATGGAAAGTCACTACTTCCAGAATCTGTACACTGGCCAAGCAATAGACTTCAGCTTATATTGACACAAATTATCACTGTTATTTTATTTCCTCGTGAATATAGCATTTGCTTTTCATATTCTTTAATAAGTGGGCTTGACTGATTATATAAGCAGAATAGTTTCCTCTATATTCCACATTGCTGTTTAGCCTCCTTATAGAACCAGAAGATGAACAAATGAATATTTAAATATTCATGGAGACTCCCAAGAATCCCTTATAAAATTAAAAATAGCTCTTCCTATTTTTTTTTTTTTGACACATCAACCACAGGTTGAATATTGCATCCTGCTCAAGTTTATGTCTTAACAACTTTTGCTTACTACTTTCTCTGGTGGCTTATGGCATAGTGGACTCATTGACACTAAGAGTGACATTGAGGGATGGAGGATTCTACACTTTTTATTTCCTGATCCACTTTCAGGACAAAAAGAAAGAGACATTATTTCCATTTGACTTGGCATTAATTCTTCCCAAATCCCCAAACCAATGAGGTTTACTTCTATATATTACATGGATATTCAGTTATGTGTTAGAATTCTTATAAGTAGAAAAGCTATTAGAACTTGCTTGACTTGTACTAGCCAAAGTTCACATGGGCTGTTTTCCATTTTCTCTTTCTTTCTTTTCTTTTTAATCTGCCTTTTTTTTTTTTTTGGTAAGGGATATTCTTTTTGGTGTGGGGAAGTAGGATGATTTTTCAATTTGGATTTCTATGAATATTTTGTAGTCATTGCTAGGTAATTAAATTTTAACTTTTCCTGACTTGAGGGATTTAAAATGGTATCCTTTGTTCATAGCACTAGAAAGTTTTTACAGTACGGATTTTTTGAGCTTCTTTTGGTACATAATTTATCCCAGAAATCAAAATAAGAAAAAAAGTACTTATATTTTGCTTTCGATTATGTGTGATTGAATTCATATTCATTCAGAGAAATAGGATTCTTTTTATAATAGTGTCACAAAGCAGGCCTGAAACTGACTGTGTGGAAGATAAGTTTCTAAGGCAGCAATGGACTATGCCATCTTTAAAACTGCTTTTATTGTTGTTGGGCAAGTAATCTAATTTTAAAAGGAAAGTAATCTTCAAAGTTTCTTAATCTATACGGACAGGGACATTTCTTGAAAACATTCTTGACTTACAGCAGCACTTCTCAAAACTAGGGAGGAGTGTATGTGTGTATACCTTCTGGATAATCTTGTACAGGAAAGATTACTGATTTAGTTGGTCTGAGGCAAGACCCAGGAACCTGCATTTCTTTGTTGTTGTTGTTGTTGTTTGTGATGCTGGGGATTGTACCCTAGGGCCTTGTGAATGCAAGGCAAGCACTTCTCTACCAACCGAGCTATATTCCCAGCCCAGGGAATCTGTATTTCTAATTCCCAGGAGAAGCTGTTGGTCCCTGGACCACCTTCAGCATAGTAAGGAGAATACCTGTAACCACTATGAACCACTTGAGCTTGGTGTTTGAACCATAGCTACTGGAAATCTCAAGACACCTTTTTCTCTTGACTTCAGTAGTAAACTCATTCCTGGAAAGAGCGTTCCTTCCCTCCCCTAAACTAATTGAGGAAGGGCAAGAAACTTGTGACATTACTGAAGTCTTTCTTTACCCTCTAGGGAAAATAGTGTTGCTCTGTATTAGAATATGACTCAGACCCCCAGCTGGGCATTGTATAATCCCAGTAACCCCAGAGGCTGAGACCTGAGGATCACAAGTTCAAGACGGCCGTTCAAGACGGCCTCAGCAGCTCAGCAAGGTCTAGACAACTCAGCAAATAAATAAATAAATAAATAAATAAGGCTAGGGATGTAACTCAGTGGTAAAGTCCCTGGCTCGGGAGGCTGAGGCAAGAGGATCACAAGTTCATAGACATCCTTGGCAACTTGGAGAGGTCCTGAGCAACTTTAGCAAGACCCTGTCTCAAAATAAAATACAAAAAAAAAAAAAAGGCTGGGGATGTGTCTTAGTGGTTAAATGCCCCCAGATTCAAACCCTGGTACCTAAATAAATAAATAATAAAAATATGGCCGTTGTTAAAATTTTGTGGTTGTTTAGCGAAGGGCATTTAGGTTAGCTCAGTGATCACTTCAGAGAAATGTGTTATGTTACTCAGTCTTCCATTGTTGTAAACTCAAAATACATGAGGTAATCAACTTATAAGGAGGAATTTTTTTGGCTCACAATTTCAGAGGTTTCAGTCCACAATTGCTTGGCTCCATTGCTTTGGGCCTCTGGTAAAGGGGAATGTGTGGTGGCAGGAGAATGTAGTGGAGGAAGCTGCTTATCTCATAGCAGTTGGAAAATAGAGACAGAAAGGGAGCGAAGTCCCAATATCCCCTTATAGGACACATCCCCAATTATCTTGACTTACTTCCAGTAGGTTCCACCTTCTAAAGATTCAGTCACTTGCAACTGGTGACTGACTGAGCCTTTAACACATGAGCATTTAACATGTTTAAACCATAACAGCTATCATCCAGGCCTCTAGATAGTTGCTGCTGCTTTTAGTGTTGGTTTCTTACAGAACCCCTCTCATAGAGGTCAGAGGTATGCAGCTAAGGAAGTATTACCTGGTGGCTCCTAACTTCTTCATGTTTTCAACTCTAGGTAATTAGTCCGGCATTAGTAATATTAAAAAAAAGAAGAAGAAGAAGAAGAAATAYTATTACTGAGCATGGTGGCACATGCCTGTAATCCCAGCAGCTTGGGAGGCTGAGGCAAGAGGAACACAATTTCAAGGCAGCCAGGGCAACTTAGTGTGAGACCTTTTCTCAAAAATAAAAAGGGCTGGGAATGAAGCTGTGGTAGAAAACTTATCTACATGCACATGCTCTGGCTTCAATCCCCAACACTGCATACATCATAAATAAATCAATTAAATCAATACTTGGGCCCAAGAACAGTTTAACAAAACTACAAGGTGGGATCTAGACATTGCTATTTTAAAAAATTTATGCATCTTATTTTAATTTTGCAGCCAGGATTGTGAACATTAAGCTAAATAAAATCTCAGATGTAGTTGGATAGCTTATCTCTAAGCTAAGACAATGACTTCCACAAAAAAAATAAAGTAATAGTAATTTTAAAAATAATGCTATTTTCTGATAAAACTTCTTGGCACTTCCTACAAAAACAGACATCTCTGATTTTGTGTTAGGTGATCCTATCAGAAATTGGCAATTAAATTTGACTAATTTAGATAGTTTCTTAATCCTAGGGTCCTTTTTATTTTTCCTTATTTCCATTATCAGAGACTGAAAACTGAGGACATTTTATATATTTTTTATTGTCTACCCATTTTCCTAAAACTCCATATTCATTAGAAGTCATTTTTAATCTTTTTATATCCCAATGATCCTCCCATGAGATCTTTTTTTTTCTTCTTTCATCATCATATTTGTGAAATTTTGAGATTTAGTGAATTGAGGCCTTTTTCTAGAACTGTCAGGAATCATTCATTAATTGACACAGCATACCTGCATTTTCAAGCCTTCTTCCACCAGTAATAATGTCTCATAACATGTAATTCTTAAAGGAGATTGGGGTGGGGATATTGCTGTGAATAAAGAAAACACACGTATCATACCCTACCAGATGGCTGATTGTTGCATGCTTTTTAGGAGGCAGTTACCCTTGAAAATCATTGATTTAGGTGAGTATTAAACATGGAATGTCTTTTCAGCACAGGCCTTAAATCAAAATGAATTCCCTACCTGTTCTTTTTAATCTTCTTATTGGAACATCCAGATCCTTATTTTTTCTTTTCCTTGCCCTTTAGCACATTTTCTTTTACTTATGTTCACAGGTAGTTTCCTCCTTAACTGTCACCTTGTTATGTAGTGAATTCAAGTAATTTATGTTGTTGATCTGCTCTATACTT